GATGTACAAGACTAATCTGCCAAAATGATCTTGAAGTATGTAATTGCATTCGATGGAGCTTTTCGGAACTGCCTGTTAATCTCGTTGGTCTTCTCTTTATTTCAGCCTGTTTATAACACAGTGCAGGAAAACGTCATGTCCAGACCTTTTGATGACAGATTTGCTGTAGCCTTAACTTGTGCTATTGATTCTGCAGCAGAATATTGGGGGTAATTTTTTTGTGCCACTATCGAGCTGCACCCATTGTTAAATCGGAGAAAGTGACCTGTTGAGATCTAAGGTAAAGAAGAAAAACTGTAAAGAAATTCTCGACCTGTTTAAGGTATAGTGATATAATTATTTTTTTTTTCTTTTGCTATGTCTTAAATGTTATACAAGTTGACAGTTGAAATGCACAAGGCTTCTTGTTACAGATTCTGCAGGGTTAAACTTTCAGCTTATTTTGGGATATGTTTTCAGTCGGAAATTACTCGTAATTTCTGATCAGCAAATGTTTCTGCAAGGCCTGGTAGGAATTGTAGATCTTTGAGATGCAGGGAATTTGCATGTAATGGACATATTAGGTTAAGCATATGACCATTTGACCCGTTAATAATTCAAAGAGTTATATTTGATTCCTTCATCTTTTAAAATGGTGATTTTTTTTAGGATAAAATTTTTTATTTTTTAAATTTTGATACGAAGTTACAAAAAAATTTATTAATTTTTAAAATAAATATTTTGCTGAAATGTCTAAATAATGTTAATATTAAATATGAAATATCTAAAATATTTTTTTTCCATTGTTTTCTTTCTCTAAAATTTGTCGGAGGAGTCCCTTGCACCGGCTGACTACCTCGTGCTCCTTTAAAGAGCGTTGGGGCTATCAATGGAGCGCCGAATCAGGCTCTAAAGGAGCATCGGAGCTCCCAAGTGCTCCCTTTGGAGCTCCAAATCGAGCTCTTTATTTTTTTCAAGTAATGAAAAATTAAAAAAATTATATAGTAATTATTTTTAAAATTAATAAAAAGTAAAATTATTTTTTTAATATTATTATGACATCAAATTAATGAAAATATAAATGATTGATTAAAAGGTAGACTTAAGTGTCTAGTGAAAGATATTTTTTTCAAACGAAATGTTTATTTTAAAAATTAATGATTTTATTTAAAATTTTGATTAAAATTTAAAAAATGAGATATTTTACCTTTTTTATTGAAAATTATAGGACACAAAATCTTTATCATCAATATTAACATTATTATTTGATAAAAAAATTTACATTATTCATACACATTATTTTTATTTTCATTGCTCATTTTCAAATTTGGAATTTTTTAACACAATCCTTAAAAAATGATGTGCAGCATTGAGAAAGGGTAAAAGAAAGTTGGATTGGGCTCATTATACAAAACATATACTAGCATAAAGGCATAATGTTTATAAAAATTCTTAAAATATTTTTTATTATGTTTAATTAAATTTTTATATTTT